TTTTCTTTTTGAATAACTACATTGGGAGCGGTCCATAAGCATTAAGAACATACATAAAAAGACACACCACTGTTGATAATGAAAAAAACAGCATTTGATCATTTCCAGCTTTATAAATTTTAAAAAAATGATTCAGTCACAACAAAAAAAGTTTAGATACTTTAGCAAGTATCACCTTGCAGGACCATAATCACATTTAAGCCACTGACTTACTCTTAACGGAAAAAAGTCACATTGCATCTAGTTACTGTAGTATTTCTAAGCATAATTACAGCAGATTGAATGCAATGTGATATACACCAAAATTCATATGGATGTCATATAATGACAGCATTGTACAAGTAACATTAATGACCTCCAACAAACACATTTTAAATTAGACTGGTCAAGCTAAATGGAATGTTGGAGCCAAACAGAAATGTAGCGGAATTCAGATTGTCTAGTAAGACTTGAAACTATACATTAGGATGACGTAAAAACTAAATACTGGTAGAACCCTAACAAAATACTAGCAGCGACAGTTACAGCCCTCTTAAAAGCTTTTAAAAATCTAGCAAATAAAGATAATACCATTTTTGAGAGAGTATAAAACTTTATATACTTCAGCATAACCTATTTGCTTTAAATCAGGCATTTTTAAGACTGGGAGTATATTCCAGCTGTTGCTTTTCATAAAAGTTTTAAAATTAAGCGGATTTAATGCTGGAATGCCGAATCCTCCTTGGGAATAAAACCCCCAAAATGAACTGTAAATATATCTTGGTTCAGAAAGCAAGATATTTGAATCACTTGAAGTTTGCAGTACTAAATAAAATAGCACCTTTTAGCTAAGCTGTTTGAAGGGCCAAGCAATGATTTGAAGACTGTCCTAATTCAGTGCCCAATGCTGAAAGTTATCTATGTATAAAACTCCTTCTTGTAGGCTTCCCTGGTGGCGCAGTGGTTGAGAGTCCGCCTGCTAATGCAGGGAACACGGGTTCGTGTCCCGGTCCGGGAAAATCCCACATGTCGCGGAGCGGCTGGGCCCGTGAGCCATGGCCACTGACTGAGCCTGCGCGTCCGGAGCCTGTGCTCCGCAACGGGAGAGGCCACGACAGTGAGAGGCACGCGTACCGCAAAAAAAACCCAAAAACTCCTACTTGTTACAGCAGGCCATGGAGAAAGTCAGAAATACTTTTCGATTTCAGGCATAAATTAAGGAAATAACACCTAATAAGCTCGCTTGCTTACAGCACAAAGAAACACTGGCAAAACTCTTAATTCCTAGATGCATGTGCTGTTCTCAGTTTTATTTTTTGTTTTAAAGTTCATTGAATAAGAGGAAGGGAACTGGGGAAAGGAGGAGGACTAAATGAAAACATTTTAAATGGAATGGAACGAGTTTGGCTCTTAAATATCTGAACAATAAGATTTTTAAAGGAGCTACATAGGTAGCCAAGCAGATTAAAACAAAGCTGCCTGCACGTAGTTCAAATACAGTTTACCTGGCATAAATGAAGACCATGGAACAGACATCATCTTTTTTTTTTTTTTTTTTGCGGTACGCGGGCCTCTCACTGTTGTGCCCTCTCCTGTTGCGGAGCACAGTCTCCGGACGCGCAGGCTCAGCGGCCATGGCTTACGGGCCCAGCCGCTCCGCGGCATGTGGGATCCTCCCGAACCGGGGCGCGAACCTGTGTCCCCTGCATCGGCAGGCAGACTCTCAACCACTGCGCCACCAGGGAAGCCCTAGACATCATCTCAATTGCATCTCTAATATGTGTTTTCCTCTTGTGGGTTTCCAAAACATCTAACGGACCAGGAACAAGGTAAGAGTTTTTAGGAGTGGAGACAAATTCACTTCGAATAAGACCCTGAGATTAAAATTCTGCCTTTATTCTATTTAGCTACAGCCTAAACCCTACCCTGAGGGTGCTTGGGGAAATTCCAGGATGGGAACTGGTTCAGAGAGTCCAGTCCTTGTAGAGGAAATAAAAGTAGTCAAGAAAGGAGTACTGCCGAGGTGAGGCCCCTGTCATTAGAAATCTGAAAATGAAAACCCAGGGAGATAACAAAGGAAGGCATCAGATTTATGTCACGTTTGCTTAAGCATAATCTCTCTTCCCTTATAATAAAAATTTTAGCAGGTATTTATTGATCATTTACTGCGTGTCATGCATTTTCACAAATGCTTTTATTTCATCTTCCTAACATCCCCATTTTCCCATTTTACAGATAAGGAAACTAAGGATCAGGGAGAATTTTCATTTTCTAGACTTTAAATGGTTGAGCCCCTGATCACACAGTAAAAACTAAGGACATGTGGAAACCTTGATAACATTCTTGAACAGTTACAATACACATAAGGGTAGATGATCTTCACAATGAATTTCAGTCTGTTAATACACACAGTAATATACACCTATGCTCCAGACAGCAGTGTTGTGTAAGATCGCAGACTCTATAGTGAGACTTCCTGGGTTCAAGCCTGGTTCCGTCATTACCAGCTGTGTGGCCTTGAACAAATTCCTTTACCTCTCTGGGACTATTTACCTTATGGGGTGGTTGAGAGGATTACATGACTGAAGATATTTAAAGCATTTAGAGCAGCACGTAGCACTCAGTTAATGTTGGGTACCTGTACCGGTTCATATGGTTTCGCCCGGGTACCAGCCCTGGGCTGGGTGACACATAGAAAGCACTCACCCCAAGGACGGTCTCCTGGAATCCTCACATCATCCAACAACGAAATCATTCTTCCTTTTCTACAGTAGAGGGGTCTGAAACTCCAAAACTACCCCAATGTCACACAATCATCTAAGCAGCAGCATTGAAATCCAAACCCTGCTTTGCCTGCTTTTGAAGTCTGGGCTCAGTAACACGCACAGAAGCTGGCGGTGCTGGCGTGTGTCCTGTTCTCTGCCAAATCTGAGACATGATCTGCTCTTCCTGCTTACAGGCACAGGGACCCGTGCATGCGCATGCACAGGCACACGCACATGCAATATTCCAGTGGGAAACTTCCCCCGCGCCTGTGCCTTTTGCTGACTATATACCCAACAATTTCTGGTCTGAAAGGCACTTTCCCAGAATGGAGTTGACAGCGGTTTGGGAAATGACTCAAACTAATTGAATTCTTGACATGGCGAGATGCTGGGGACATTGGATCCTTCTTATTTCCAGCTGCACGAAAGCAAGAAGCTTTGCCAAACCAAAGAAGAGCAAGCCATGGGAGAGAATACACGTTCAGTGCCAGATGCTCTTTATAGCAGTAAACAAATGGTTCGACCACCATAAACTTTTGATTTTCATAATTCAGTGTCCGGGTGGGGGAGGGTAACAAGCAGAGGCGTGCATGGGAGAATTTTTGCACCTGTCAACAATACAATAATGATACTGCTGAGAGGTCCCTTGAAGACGAAACAGAAACACTTGCAAAAAGTAAGCAATGACAAGATTTCTCGTCACACAGCTCCTTACCACCATACTCCATCCTGCACACACCCCTCTCTCTTACAGTGAAAAGGCCTCAAAATTTCCACCATGTAGGAAATTAGTCTCTCTCCCTCTCTTCCCCTTTCCTCCTCCTTCCCATCCTCTCTCTGTTTTTCTCTTCCAGGAAGAAACTCTTGAATGTCAAACGCTAGACATTATCTAGTACAGACCATCAACTTGAAAGTCAGGAAAACCTGGGTTTGAAGCCTTGTTATGGCACATTATGCAAGTTACTTAAACCCTCTGTGATTCAGTTACCTCATCTGTAAAATGGGCTTAAAAATAATACTTACCTGATAGGACTGGTGTGAGTACTGAATGAGCTAATGCTTGTAAGAGCCTTAGGGCAGAGGCTGGCACATAGCCTATGCCCCCAAAATGTTCCTTGTAGTATCACCCAACCCACCCTCTTCATTTTACAGACAAGGAAACTGGATTTAGAGAAAAGTGATCTATCCAAAGTCATATGGTGAGTGAATGGCAGAGCCAAGTCTGGGTCCAGGCACCCCATCCAGGCCCTCTTCCTGCTGTACTACACATCGCATAGTATATTTCCCGCCAGTCATCAACTTCGAGCCGAACGAGGCTGGGACGTTTTCCAGTTGGTCATGTCCATGCTGAGCTGCTGACGTCAGCAGAGCCGGGGCCAAGAGCATCCTGGGTTGCTGACCCCACTGTGGCCAGGGGCCGGCTGAGCATGAGGGCAGGTGCTGCTTTTGTCTCATAATGACGCACAGTCTCCAGGACTATCAAACCCTGCTAAAGCCAATTTCCACAGAGCACTGAGCCACCAGCCTCTTATTATTAATTTACATTCTGGAAGCTGAAGCTACAGAAAAGTTGACTGCATAGTGTCACCCTCAACAGCTTTCAAATGTTCTGGTAACACAAAACCTCTGCTTCCAAAGCCTCCAATCCACATCCCTGAGGCCTGAGGTGCTGCATGCTCTCTGTCTCTCTGTCTCTCTCTCCCCCCGCTAGGACCCTCTCCCAGTGCTGACAGACTGCAGAGACCGGATCATTGTCTGTACTATGACCTGTTTTTGCCCACATGGTACCATTTCACCCCAAATGCTCTTCCCTCTCCCTTTTCGTAAAGAACACACATACATACACATGCGAACTCACACCATCACCCATGGGCCCAAGGGCTCTTGTTCCCTAGGGGAAGTGTTCAAATCGTCCACAACAATATTTGGTTCTAGCGTGGGAGGATCAGAAACCTGCAGCCGGGGCAGGTGCGGTTCTGGGTGTTTCCAGAGATAACAGACCCATTAGTTCTGACAAACGTTCCCACGTTCCTGCCTCTAATCTGTGCCAAACTTCCCAGATCCAGCCAGAGCCTGGAGCTCCTCGCAGGCCATCCAGGCTGTCTCTGATCTAGTCAGTGGCCGGGTGGCCACGGCTGCACAGACCAACAAACTTTTTCTCACGTGTCAGCCAGCCACACCCTCCACTCACAACAAACAGAGGCAAGGGGATATGGGAACTAACTGGCCTGGAAGATGGGAGGGAACGGAGGGATCATGGTGATGATGATGGTAATTCTATAGCAGAAAGATCACTGGCCTGGAAGGCAGGAGGCCTGAGTCCCTATCCTGGCCACTGAGTGAAGTGCATGCTCTTGGGCCAGTCACTTAACCTCTCTGTGCCTCAGTGTTCTCACCTGCTATAGAAGTGGGCTTGCCTGGAGGGTCTGAAGGAAGTCTCTCAGGGTAAGGTTTCCATAGTGACCATCTTCAGTCCCGATGGCACATATGGGCAATTAGGGGCAAACCACAGCGGGGCTCAGTGCTAACCAGAATTCTCACCACTTCCAGCCATTTCTGGCTCACACTTTCTCCCCAATGAAAGGTCAAAAGGAAGGACTCATGGAAAGTGGGTAAATGCCAAAGAGGATTTGTTCACTTGGGGGCAGGGGTCAAGGGCCTGGGCTGGTCCCTGAGTCCTTTTGATGTCCTTTTTAACATTTTTGGAGCCCAAGGCAGGGCTCAAGTTATCTCCAAGCTCCAAGTTCATCTGCCTCTTGGGCTTCAGAGACGGAAAGCAGAGCTCGCAGTGGCAGTTAAGAGACTTGCCAGATCGCTGGCTGGTCATGGCAGAGCTGACCTAATCCAGGTCCCCTACCTCCTACTCCAGAGCTAGGAAGTGTTGGCATGTGTGACAGCAGTGGTGGCTTCTGTGACAGACAGTGTCAGCTTGTGCTGCAGGCTCCCCCATCACTGAGGCTTAGAGGCGGTGAGAGAACAGTGCAGGTTCCCGTTCCCCTTCAACCTTAAGGGTTCAATTCACCCTTCTTCTCCCACTTGACATCTGCCTTCCCTTGCTGACTGTCCAAACTGTAGACTTGACACTGCAGCACCAGGGCAGAAGCAACATCCTAATGTACTCTGTTAGCCAGGACCTACAATTGCATAGAGTCAAATATCTAGAATATAATCCTTTCTAGATATAGCTCCTAATGACTCTGTTTCTCTTATAAAAAACCTTGACTGATACAGATAATGAAGATATGACATGTCAATATTTGTGAATGCACCTAAGGCAGTCCTTCAAGAAACAATTACAGGCTGAAATGTGAGTATTAGAAAAGTTGAAAATCAATGGTCTCAGCAACTATTTCAAGTAACAAACAAATAAAAAAACAAGAGAACCACAAAGCAGAGCAAATCAAACCCAAAGAAAGTAGAAGGAAGGAAATAATAACTGGAAGAGTGGAACATTCATGCAATAGAAAAGTCACACAATAGAGAAAATCAACAAAGCCAGGAATGAACTCTTTACAAAGATTAATCAAACTGGTAAACCTCTAGCAAAACTGTTCAAGAAAAAGCAAGAAAATACACTTAACAATATTAGAAATAAAAAGTAATCTGTTACTAAAGACGCTACAGACATTAAAATGATAATAAGAGGATATCAAGAATAATTTTATTTTGATAAATTTGATAATTTTTTAAGATTGGCAAATGCCTTGAGAAATAGAGCATGTCAAAACTGACACAAGAAAAAAATTAGAAAATATAACCCTCCAATATCTATTTAAACATTGAATGAATACTCCAATATCTATTTAACACTGAATGAATACTCCAATATCTATTTAACATTGAATGGATACTCCAGTATCTATTTAAACGTTGACTCTATTATTAAAAACCTTTCCACAAAGAAAACTCCAGGCCCAGGTAGCCTCATTGGTAAATTCCCTCAAACATTTAAAGAAGAAATAGCACCAATCTTAGACAAACTCTTCCAGATAACTGATAAAGAAGAGACACTTCATAACTCATTTTATGAGGCCAGCATAAATTTAATAACAAACTTGAAAAGGACATTACAAGAAATGAAAATTACAGACCAGTCTCTTTCTCATGAACGTAGACACAAAAGTTGTAAACAAAATATTAGCAAACAGAAACTATTTGTGTTTCAAAAATCACTGAACTGTACACTTAAAAGGGTGAAATATTGTGTATAAATCATATCTCAATAAATCTGACTTCTAATAAAGAAAAAATGGATCTTAACTCACACATTATCAAACTTCCAATAGATTGTAGATATATATAAATGTGAAAAGCAAAACAATAAAGCTCTTACAAAAAGCGTAGGAAGATGTCTTCATGACCTTAAGGTAGGCAAAAATTTTTGTAACAAGTTTTTTAAAACTACTAATTATAAGGGGGAAAACTGATCAATTTGACTACACTGAAATTCATATCTTCTGTTCATCAGAAAGCACCATTAAGAGAGTAAAAACATCTGTCACAATCTGGGAGAAGGTATTTGTAGTACATATATCCAACAAAGGACTTTATTCCAGAATAAATAAAGAACTCCTACTAATCAATAAGAAAATTGTAGATAACCCACTTCACAAAAGAGGATATCCAAATGTCCAATTTTATTAGTCATCTGGAAATACAAATTACAACCTCAATGTAGCCCACTGCATATTCCCTAGAAGACTAAAGTGGAAAAGGTAGGCAAGAGCCGGTATTGGTGAGGATATGGAACAGCTGGACCTTTCAAAACATTGATATTGGAAATGTTAATTGATACAATCACTTTGGAAAACTGTCCGTATTTACTCAAGCAAAACACTTGCAAACCCATTATCTAGCAGTTTTACTCCTAGGCATATATCCAACAGTAATAAGTACACATGTTCACCAAAAGACAAGTAAAAGCTCTATTAGCAATAGTCAAATACAGGAGACACCCCAAATATCCATCAGTGGTAGAATGGATAAATAATGATGATATATTCATACCACGGAATACTAAAGACAATGAAAATTCTACAACAGCATGCAATAACATCATGTTGAGTGACAAAAGCCAGATAAAAAAGAATTCATACCATATGATTCCATTCATATAAAATTCAAAAATAGGCAAAGACAGTATAAGCTGTTAGAAGCCAAGAGATGGGTTATCTTGCTGTTTTGTCTTTTCTTTTGAGATTGGTTACTCTTGAGGAAAGTCTCAATGACTGGCAGGGTAGTTGAAGGGGTTTCTGGCAATGGGGTTGTAACATCTTGTTTCTTGATTTAGGAGCTTGATTACATGGATGTGTACAGTCTGTGAAAACACTGTACACTTGTGATTTCTGTATTATACTTCAATAAAAAATGTTTACATAGAAAAAATTAAGTGGATGGGAACACGGCAAAAATTGTTGTATCCATTTAACCAAGGAAACTTGAGTAGGGGAAGAATTAGCTTTAGGACAGAGGAAGATTTCAAGAATCTGAGCCCATTTGCCAAAGATCTGTGTGATTTTCCTTCAGGCTCCACCTTTAGGTAGAAGGACTGACTGAGGTCGGTCAGCAATTTGAAGAGAGTGTCACAGAGACTGACCAGTCCTTTACGAATGCAGAGTCTTATGGCATTCTGGGCCTGGGATAACCCTGCTTGGCTGCTGAAAGGGTGACCCCAGTGTTCGACACAATGGCCCAGAAGCTGGTGGATCTACCCATGTTTTCTGTGTACACGAGCAGGTAAGGCCCATCAGCCCCACCAGGTTAAGGTTATGACTATAGGGAAACAACACGTCTAGACTTAGCAGTCACAACACCTGGGTTGGAGCTCTTGCTTGGTCTTGTATCAGCTGTGTGATTTGGGGCAAAACACTTGCCCTCTCTGAATATTGAGAAAATGGGGTTTGCCTCAAAGTCATTGAAAAAAGGACTTTTTAAACTATACCACACTGGAGTAATTAAAGAATCTCTGGGACTGGACATTCATTTATGCAGTGAATAAATATTTATCAAGCCCCTATTATGTGCTCACCATGCTGCTAGGCACTGGGAACACAATGGAACAAGAAAGACAGTCCCTGCCCTCAAAAAGCTTAATTCTAGGGAGAGGAGTGGGGAGAAAAAATTCAAATGTTAGCTGACAATAAAATAATTACACATTAATGGCTGGAATAACAAAATGTAGTATATGCATACAACAGAAAATTATTCAGCCTGAAAGAGGAAGAAAATTCTAACAGTAGCGGAATTCATAGAGACAGAAAGTAGAATGGTGGCTGCCAGGGGCTGGGGAAGGAACAAGCAGGAAGTTATTGAACGGGTATAGAGTTTCAATTTTATAGGATGAAAAGGTTCTGGGGATTGGTTGCACAACCATGTGAATATACTTAACACTACTGAACTGTACACTTAAAAATGGCTAAGAGGGCCGATTTTATGTGTTCTTTGCCAATTTATACAATTTTTTAAATTGCATGTTGTGGTTGGAAAAGGTCATGAGACTCACCAGCCCTCGGACACGTTTACCTGGGGTCCTGGGAGGGTCAGGGAGGAGATTTCTTACCTCTCTGACTCCTTCCCAAGGAAACTTGGCCTGAGCTTACCCTGTTTCAGCAGAAGCGCATTTCTCTCTCTCTCCTCTCTCACATGGAGAGCCTTGAATCTCCTCCATCACATGGCTTCCTCTCCAGCCTGATTGTAGTGGAGACCAGGCCTGGACGGACCTGTGAGTAAGAGGGCAGGCGTCTGGACACCTCGCTTCTTCCCTTCAGAGCTTCCTGCTCCCTTTCAGCCTGGAAAGATGTGAATTGTGGTGGAAAACAGCAAAGCCTTTGCAGTCAGACTGACCTGGATTTAAATCCCCCTCTCTTGGGACTTCCCTGGGGGCTCAGTGGTTAAGAATCCGCCTGCCAATGCAGGGGACATGGGTTCGAGCCCTGGTCCAGGAAGATCTCACATGCTGCAGAGCAACTAAGCCCGTGCGTCACAACTACTGAGTCTGCGCTCTAGAGCATGGAAGACACGACTACTGAGCCCACGTGCAGCAACTACTGAAGCCCGCGTGCCTAGAGTCCATGTTCCACAACAAAGAGAAGCTACTGCAATGAGAAGCCCTCTCACCAGAACAAAGAGTAGCCCCTGCTCGCCGCAACTAAAGAAAGCCTGCGTGCAGCAACGAAGACCCAACACAGTCAAAAATAAATTAATTAATTAAAAAAAAAGAAATCCCCCCTCTTGCATTACTTCATCTCCATGAGCCTCATTTTTCTCAAATGGACACTAGGTTGACATGAGAATTAATAAGATGAGGCAGGGAAAATTCCTAGCACAACGCCTTGCATAAAGGCCATCAACAAACATCAGCTCCTCCCCCCTCGTGCCTTAAAAACTGTTTTCCTTGGATTCCCACAGATATCCACTTCCCTTCCCCCTTACTGCCCTGCCTACAGGGCCCCAAGTTTTGTCTTTCTCTGATCCTTTTCCTCCTGAAAACAAATCAGTTTTAGGTCCTATTTCTGCAGGATCCTGCTAGGTGGCAGAACATTTTCTGAGAAATCAACACAATATTAATAAATATTCAAGCTCCAGTAAGTCACTTGGTGTTCAATTAGCATCTTTGCCTAGCACAAAAGAGTGAATACTGTGGAAATTCCAGGCACCACCATAATAGTGGAGAAGATACTTGGGGCAAAGGAGTCTTTGGGGGTGCCTCAAGTTGCATGGTGAATGCACACCCCATGATGGTCCTGGCCTTGGTGCTGCCTGAGTTCTGCTTGATCAAATCTGTGGTCTCCATTTCTCACCTCCTTACCCCTTCTATCCAAGAAGCAGGAGGATATTCACAAATCACTGAGCAGAGTTGTTTCTATTGTTTGCCCAAGAGGCTCCGACTAATCAACTTGCAGCAGTCAGAAGCCCTGGTCTCAAAGCCCAGGCTGATATTTCTGCCTACCTAGGTACTTGGTGTGAGTGACCAGGCCAAGGAGCAGGGGCCTGGCTGAGGCTCGCCCTTGAGGTTTTCCAGTGGCCCTTCCTTGACAATCTGCCTTTCTTTCCATGTAGTGACACAGGAGGTGGTGCAGGTAGCAAGCTGATTTTCAGAGGCTAGGACCACTCCCATGTCTCTGGGAACATAGATTGAGTCCCAGTCACCAAACAAGTCTACTGGCAGATTGCAGTGGACACGTAAGTATCCTCCACAGAGTAGTTATGGAATGAGGGAAGAGCTCATAACAGGCTCAACTGAAATTGGATTAACTAAATTGACCTGAATGAAACTGCTGGTCACTGAGAGAGGATGCTGGGAGCTGGCTGCATGAGGCTAGAATATGGAGGTGCTGAGCAGAGGGGCAGGACGGGGCAGCAGACACATGGTACCCACTCTCAGCTTCCTTTCTTGTACATGTGGCGTATCTTCAATTCAGCAGACAGTGAATACTAACACTCGGCCAACTACTCATTCAACATTAATTAACATGCAAGGCAAGGGCTGAATGATACAGGGGTGCAAAAGCGAATTGGACTCAGATTTTGCCTTCACAAACCATTGCAGAAGATGACATCTATACACAAACTACTACCATGTAGAGTAGAAGGTGGTCAGTACTCCATGAGATGGACCACCAAAGTGGCCCAGACCAGAAAGGGCAAGACCACTTCTATCTGAAGAACTCCTCAAGGGTCTCATGGAGGGGGTGGCATTGATTGAGTCTAGACACACACACACACACACACACACACACAGAGGCGCGGAGCAATCAGGGAAAGTGGAACTAGATTCCTGCCACATACCTAGCACTGTACTAGACAGTGCAGGAATTCAAAGAAACGTAATTCAAGTTTCAATTCAGCTGAAGATAAGTTCCTGCAAGGGGACAGGCATGTGCTAGGCACAGAGATACAGAAGCCAAAAAGGCTCCAATGTTTACTGTCTACTGAGGGTTTTTCAAACTGCAAGGATTTACCCATTTATGGGTCACGACATCATTTTAGGGGATCGTGACCTACATTTTTTAATGAAATGGGCTAAAGTGGAAAATATCAGAGTGCGCTCCACATATTAAGGTTAAGTACAGTGTCATGAAATTTTTATTTCCTGCGTGTGTGTGTGCATGTGTGTATGTGTACTGGGTCAAGAAGTAAATATATTTCCTGCTATGCATCTCAGTCAAAAAACAAAATATATATATATAGAGAGAGAGAACCACTCATGTGGTGAGAGCGACCAAAATGCAAGTTACTAACGTGCTTCAGCAGATTAGAGAACCCAGCAGAGTGAGAGCTGCTGGGGTGCCAGGGAAGCTTAGGGGGAGAAAGGGGAAGGGACAGGTAGGAGTAGCTGACGATGCTTCCTTTGTCCTCAGAATCCAGGTGGGAGGCACCACGATGTTCCTCTCCGAAGGCTGCAGGCCACTGTGGACCCAGGGACCTCCCTCATCACAGGCCCCTCAGGCGGTAGCAAGCAACTGCCCAGACCACTGGGGCAGAGCCCATGGACGGGGAATCGGGAGGCCTCTGAATAGATCCTCTCGTTCTATTTTTGTACACTCTGGAGTGTGTCAACATCAGTGTCTTGCCGGATGTCACCTTCACCATCAATGGGGTCCCCCACACCCACCAACCAACTGCCTACACCCTGCTGGTGAGAACTGTTTCCTTATTCTGCAAGTCACAGGACCATCCTCACACGGCTGCCACTTCCCCTTTCCAAACAGTCGCCTGTACTCAGGGTGCCTTTACCCCTTGCCCCCCTCCCATCTTATCCAGCTCTGAAAGCATTCCCCCTGGGAGGGGTGGTACTGCCGATGGCGGAAACGCCACTGGGCTGGTTCTAACTTCCTGTTCTGCCATGAAGCAGCAGCAGACCTTGGACAAACCATTTAATGAGGTTTTCTGACATTGTCAGGTAGGACTTTTCAACTGACAAAACTTAATCTCTTCAACCACCAAGTCAGACTGGGATATTATTAGCCCATTTGATAGATGAGGATACTCAGAGAGTTAAATGGTTCAAGATACGAGCTGCTAGAGGTAGGGGGATACAGAATAAGGTTAAATCTACGATCCCAAATTTTCAATATCGCATTTTGTGGCGACACACTTTAACACACCAACTTTGCCCAAGAGTCACCTGCAGCATCAGGGTGACTGCACCAGGATGGAAGCACTAAGGTGTAGACAGAAGGCTTTACCTACCCCCATAACTTGATCTCCATTCACACCCCTTCCCAAAGCCACCAAATATAAACAGACAATGCAAGTGAAAACAAATGTTTTGCTTTAAAACACAAGCTTCATGTCAAGCCTCCTAAGCTCTTCCAACAAAGGAATGGTAGAGCTGCCACTGTGAACACGATGCTGAGGACAAGCTACACATTTCAACTGTGCTAAGTTCATTAGTCTATACGCCTTTCCCCACTCCAACACCCCACACTCTCTCCCCTTCACCCTATGTGAGTCCCTGCTCACATGCACACCCTACCCTGTACACATTATGGTGCTATTGTCCTTTTATGCTAGCAGTTTTCAATCAGAGCCACCTTAATCCATCAAGGATGCTGTCATAACTTTGCATTTTTGTCCCCTTCCTCTCAAGAAGACTCTTGAAGCTCTCAGTGAATTTTCCCAAACCTTCATCGGCAACCTCAAATTTCAAATAGTTGCTGGAAAGACGACTTCTGCCTGTTAGACCCCAAGTCTTTACCAAACCAAATAAGGTTGGGAGAGGTTATACTCCTCTCACGGATCAATGGATACCTACTTGCCTTATAACTTGAAGGAGCCACTCGAATGATTCTTCCCAGAACTTAAACAAGAGAATGGCAGTGGCTAGCCACTTACAGAGCAATTACTCTCCCTTAAAAAATTAAGTTGAGCTTTGCTAGAAACTAACGAAACCAGAATTTAAGCCAAGATCTTCTAATGCCAAACCTCTTGCTGTTCCAGCCATGCAACAAGATTTCAGTTTTCCCAATCGTTAAGATGGTGGTAAGGAGTGGAGGTGTATAACAGATGAACAATTATCAAAACTGTAGAACTTAGAAGCCAAGACCCACGTATAAGAAATTGTGCAAACACTTTTTTGAGTAAACGTGTATAGGTATATGAAACGGAAGAAAGAACCAACCAGCCAAAATTGTGAAGCGGCTGTCCAAGGCCATTTGGTATAGCTACCACTACTACACAGTACAGCCTCTAGACAGCACTACTTCCTTCTTTCCCTATACGTCATTTATATTCTTCTTTCCAATTCCAGAAATTCATGGATGGCATGAAGTTCTTAATCAGTGGCTTTCAAGGTTCTGACATCCAACCTCCAGCTTGGTCCTTCCGGACCCTAAGCAATGTATCATTAAACAGTTTTACTGCCTTTGACCATGGGAATAACCATGTGGGGCTGGCCCCAGCAGTCCCCTAAGCAGAGGTCTTGTGTCTGTGCCAGCCCCCCTGGAAATTCACCTGGGCCTATTAGGTTGGGACATTCCCCACAGCTGTCAAAGTTCTTTTCAATAGAATGCAGCTTTTCCAGAGCTGCAACCCAAATTAGAATGAAACTGCGAACACACACACACACTCACACACATACTTCATACACCCACATACACACCAACTCCACCAACATCATAATGGAAGAATTAAGTTGTATGCCCATACTTTTTATCGCTTTTTTGCTAATGTTTTATTACGGAAATTTCCGAACATGTGCACAAGCAGAAATTATAGTACAATAAATCCCTGTGCAGCCCCACTCAGTTTCCACAACCCATCAACACATGGCAGGGCCTGTTTTATCTGTTTCACCAGCTACTCCTCTCTTCAGCCCCACGTACCTGGATTATTTTGAAGTAAAATTCTTAGCATCACATCATAAATCACCACATCAAATATTTATCCATAAACCCTTCTAATACAGGTATCCCCTGCTTTGCAAAAGTTCACTTTATACCACTTTGCTTTTATGAAAGACCTACATTAGTACCTGTTTTCCCTAAACTAAAGGAATCCAAAGAGGATTTTTGCACTTATGAAAAAAAGACAGAAATCAAAAAAAGCAGCCAGTGTTTGTTTTGCAGCAAAGCTTTTATAGAGGCAGGGCATGCCCCAGCAGCGAGAGTGGTACCAGCAAGCTCCTTCACGGGAACTATACTCAGTATCTGGGCATCAAGCCTCCATAGCTTTGAACTGTATCTGTGAGCATCTGAGCTTTATCTTGATTTAATTTGTGTGTCCATTAGCAAGGTGTGTCCATTAGCATAGTTTCATAGGAAACTTCTACTTTCAGACAGCAAGGGAAACCAGTATTCTTTTTTTGTTGTTGTTAATCTTATTCAAGCATAGTTGATTTACGATGTTGTGTTAATTTCTGCTGTACAGCAAAGCGATTCAGTTATACATATATATATTCTTTTCCATTATGATTTATCAGAGAATATTGAATACAGGTCCCTGTGTGGGAAACCAGTATTCTTAAAGGTGCTGTCAGTGTTCAGATGTTTCCTATTGCCTCATAAATGTTTGGTCATTTTTACGGTTGACTTGTTTGTGTCAGGATTCGAAGGTTCACAAAGTACATTTGTTTGAAATGTCTCTTTTCATCCATAGTTGCACGTTCTGAATTTCACTGGTTGAAATCCAGAGCTGTCATGTAACATGTTTGTGTGAGTTCATTGTTCCTATAAAGTGATAGTTAGATCTAGAGGCCTTATTTTGTGGAAAGAACACTTCATAAATGGTGCTGGGTACCTCTACTGTGTCCCATCGGGGACAGATAATGCCGGGCGCCGCTCAATTTGTAACGTTAGGACTGATGGGTGGGTTCCCGAGTTGTCAGCCGCATCCACCCACGATAACGTTCCCTTCAGCATTTGACCCAAAGGTTTCAGCAGCCATTGATGATCCTCACTTAGATCCACACTATGACTAGGGGCTGAAAACAGGGATTTTTCTAATTCTATTTTTCCTCCTGTATTTGTTAGCTGGAACTCTTCTATAAAAAACAACCCTTTCATTAACTATTGTCCACTACGAGGTACAGCTCATACAAGAAGGGCAAGATTACCTGCTTCTTTCCCTTTATTTACCAGTTTTCAGAATAATGAGTATGTTTCAACTTTCCTGCCATTTTTTAATGCTCAGATCACCCCATGTTTAGCCAGTGGGCGCCCCTTCAATTTAGCTCCTGTGAACTTTTGACTTGACCTCAATACAAAGAGATGTTCTGGGCCCATTTTCCCACAGTTCTGGTTCCTTGCAGTGTGTTCATGTGTTTGTTGTAAATGAAAATATTTCACAGTACGTGGGAGGGGTGTGGTTGGAGAGAAAGAGAGAGGGAGAGAGAGGCTCTGAACAAACGCTTTTCACCTTTGGGAACCAGGGCCCATCCTAAGGGAGCTGATATGGGGAATCTGGGTCTAAGGACCATCCTTTGCCACTAGGAACAACTTGTCTTTCTTTTCCTTCCTTTCAATTTTGCTTTTTTCAAAATGGAAATATCTTCAGTGTTTTTCTTATTCTAAAATATGTGAAAGTCCCCCGTGAGCCTCCTCCTCAGAGATAAGCATTACTATCAATCGGAAGTTATCTTATGCAGACATTTTTCCTTGCATATGTAAACAGAGATGGCTATGGGTAAGGAAACCTTTTTCTTTTCTCATTTAACAGCAGATTTCCCATCAGTCCATTCTTCTAACTCATTCAGCACAGTGTCAATTTATTTATCAAACCCTCTCTTAACAAATATTTGTTTTGTGCCAGGTGCTAAGAGAGACACCCCAAGACCTGCAAGACAACTGGGGCGGGCCCTGGCTGTCACTTCTGGCAGCAGAGGTCCTGGAAAACACACCAGGCTTAACCCTAACCCTAAGCCTGTATCCACCTCTGTGCTCCACCCCTCACCAATCTGGCATCCTTGGCTAATTACTTTGTGTCTCTGGGATATTCTCCCTGCAGAGCTCTTGGGAAGAGTTGAGCTTATCTGGATGGAAGCACTTGGGTCATAATGTTAGCATCCCTTCCCTCTAAGCATCAGGATCCAAGAAGTTCACAGCTACACACATGCACACACTTTTTTTTTCTTTGTTTTTACTCTTTTTTTGCCTATATATATATGTATATATATATATATATATATATATATACACACACACATTTTTTTAACTAAATTATTGCTTTCAGAGCAATATTTAAGCAATTAAGTCAAAAGCAGCATAGTGGGGCTTCCCTGGTGGCGCAGTGGTTGAGAGTCCACCTGCCGATGCAGGGGACACGGGTTCGTGCCCCGGTCCGGGAAGATCCCACATGCCGCGGAGCGGCTGGGCCCGTGAGCCATGGCCGCTGAGCCTGCGCGTCCGGAGCCTGTGCTCCGCAACGGGAGAGGCCACAACAGTGAGAGGCTCGCGTACCGCAAAAAAAAAAAAAAAAAGCAGCATAGTGGAGCGATCAACAACACAAGCTCTGTGAGGGCGGGGCGCCAACCTTTAGAGGGCATCCCTGCAGACTTTCTCCTCAAGGGTGACTTCTACATGGGCAGCAACCCTGATGTGCTGGCCTGGAGCCTGAGGGTCCAGGAGCCTGAGTGGTGGAGGCTGAAGTATGAAAGTGATGCTTTAATCACATCTGTAGGAAGTGAAATCAGGCTCAGTCCCAAGGCTGCCCGACCCCAGTTCTGCTCTGAGCACTCTGGTCCCTCAAGGCAGAAGTGGTGCTTTCAGTCAATGTGGACTAAAATCCTGCTGCCTGTGTAAACCTACTTAACCCTAATAGCTGCTTTGGGTTTTCCACAACTGACCTTGACTCTTTGTGACCTTCACATCAGTGGTTATTACCTCTGAAATCCAGGACCGTGTCCCATGTCCCACGTCTGATACTAGCTCACCACCTCTCAGGGGTGGGCCAAGAAGTTTGGCCAAAGCTTCACTGTGCCCTGGGAGTTGTTAAAGGATGCTGTATTCATTTCCTAGGGCTGCCATAACGAAGCACCACAAATTTAGTGGCTTAAGACAACAGAAATCTATTGTCTCACAGTTCTGGAGGCTAGAAGACCCAGATCAATGTGTCAGCAAGGCTATGCTCCCTCTAAAATCGTAGGGGAGAAATTTTCCTCACCTATTCCAGACTTCTGGCTGGAATCCTCGGCATTCCTTGGCTTGCAGCTGCGTCACTCCAATCTCAGCCTCTGTCATCCCATGATGCGTCCCTGTCTCTGTGACTCTTCCCTCTTATAAGGACACCAGTCACATCAGATTAAAGCCCCATACTACTCCAGTATGAACTCATCTCAATTTTAATTGCACCTCCAGCGACCCTATTTCCAAATAAGATCATTCTGAGGTACAGGGGTTCAGACTTCAACCTATCTTTTAGGGAAACTCAATTTAACCCATAACAGATGCTCTGCTAACTAATTGCTCTTATATTTGACTTTTGGCTTCTTAAAATCCTTTTAGGAGTTTTCGATGTTTTGTTGTTCTTTTCTTGTCTTTTCTCTTCTTTTCTTTTCTCTTCTTTCCCTCACAACAAATCTGTAAATTAAGCAGAGGAGGTTTTCTTACCCTGTTTTGTAGATGGGGAAATTGGGTTATAAAACAATGAAACCATTTGTCAGAAGTAGAGATGGGGCTTCCCTGGCGGCGCAGTGGTTGAGAGTCCGCCTGCTGATGCGGGGGACACGGGTTCGTGCCCCGGTCCAGGAAGATCCCACATGCCGCGGAGCGGCTGGGCCCGTGAGCCATGGCCGCTGAGCCTGCGTGTCCGGAGCCTGTGCACCACAACAGGAGAGGCCGCAATAGTGAGAGGCCCGCATAGCGCAAAAAAAAAAAAAAAAAAAAAAAGTAGACATGAAGGTAGAATTCATGTCTCTCAGCTCTTAATCCACTGCTTCTGATTCATCCTCCTCCCCCACCCAAGTAGTTGCCAGTTCAGGATATCTCAAAGGCAAGGATGAAAGGTAGATTCTAAACAGTCCCCCTAATAATGTTTACTTGTTAAAATAAAAATGTATAAGCTGCTGAAAAGTTAATGGCTGCTGACCCCCAAAAGGATTCAAACAGCGTCCTCATGTCTGCTCCTACATGGAGGTAAGACCTTGCCAAAGGATTCCGGGGAGGCTGCTATTTTTGTGTGTCGGGCATCATTTCCTTTGAGGAATTGTTCCCCTCCTGTTCTAAGTCCTATGGCCTCTCCTGGTGGTTCCTGGGTTCCCGTCATCACCAGTGACATTACAGGGGAGGACACAGGCCTCAAGTCACACCTGTCAGACTCTCTCTCCTGGGAATGGGAATCTTGAGTGGGACCCCACAGGACAGAGGGGCACCTGGAACTGAGCCGTGCATGGCAGGCACACAGAGAGAGCCCCCAAGTTCCCAGTGCCAAGGTCGCAAGGTACCCTGCTTCTGTCCTTCCTACTGTGTCTGTTCTCAG